TATATTTTTATAACCCCGATCAATAAAAAAATGAATTGGCGTATCCTTATCTCGACATCGTCAACTCCCCCATTCCATTCATTCGAATAAAATATATTTTTGCAATCCTTAATGTATTCAAGAACATTCATATTCTCGTCATGTAGAAGATCCCCGCGTGGCAATCCGTAGAATGGCTGAAAGAAGGACTCGCTCTTTCTCCGTCCCGAGGGTTTTTAATGTCCCCGGAAATCCTATGTCAATCCTCGGAGCCATAACCTTTATTTCCTCTTATACCCTTTCGTTCACTCAATTTTTTTCCATCTACCTAACGTTTGTTAAACAGTCATTTGCATACTAACCGAGCGGGTTGTTTACATGTTTGCGTCGAAAATGGCTTAATAACCTAGCCCAATTTTGCACGGCGCGTTACGTCGAGAGGGTCCCAAACTTGGTGAATTAATGTAATTGGCAGAGTACGACATTGAAGGTGGAATTGACTTGGTAACAAAATATTAATTTCGTGAACAGCGACTATTACCACCTCTGACATCGCCGGATAATTTTACTTAATCACTCAAACGACGTAATATTGGCGTAATAACGGCATCGTCATGAAACCGTCTTGTCTTGGAAACCTCAAACTACTATAGTTCGAGTGAAATAACTATCCATTAAAATTTGTAATATTAATTGTTGTAATTAAATTAATAAATATTTTAAAGTATTAATTAAACATGAATGAAATTTGTGGTGATTTATTTAAACCCAGATGAAACATACTTGTGAAAGAGCGCGATAGAGTTAAGCTTTTGTTAATCCTTACTTATTTATAAACGTTATTGGAACAATTTATATAGTGGATCATAATGGTCATTTGAATGAATATATTAGTAGATTATTCAGTGTAATAAGCTGATGATAATTACGTATGATTTAGGCCTAATGGGTCTTCTATTGATAACCTACGTTGATTAATTAGTCTCTAATTATACCTATTTTGCAATATGAGGTCGCAATAACCAGTAATATGTTTATTATCAAACGTAATTTACAACAGGCAGAAAACGGGCATATTGCAACTGGCACACGTTCGTTTTATCAAATTTAATGTTGGCTTGATATTGCGTTTCTATTCTAAGGTATTCCCACTGCACTATACCTGCATAGTAGTGGTTACACTTTCGAAAGATATGGTGTTATAAAGGAGTTCCTTAGGTCTCTCTACCACTCTCGTGAGGAATTTCAACCGGAATGTTTATTGAATTACTTCTTTTTCAATAAATATTTCTTATATATTTCAAAATTATTTTTGTATTCTCAACTATGATGATCAATATATGTATTATTATTATTATACAGGACTACCCAAAACTCCCGGGACGGAGCTATAAGTTTTGTACGAGTGAAGAAAAAAATTTGAAAATTTGGGGATCACTAAAGAGTCATAAAAACTACATACTTAGATAGTTTAGAATTTCCATGCAATGTGGAGTTTTTTTAGGAGATGACCACCCCGACATTTTTAAATAGCAACCCCTTTCGAGTTTTACCTATTTTAAAGGTAATGAAAAAAGAAACACCATAAACCAAAACTCGATATCTTAATTCTATCAAAAATTATGAGGGGTTGACTACCAAATGGGAAAATAAAATGTTTTCATTTATTATGAATAAATGTTTAAATTGTCGACCCTAACGCTCATAAATGGAATTTTGAACCATCACGAGCTTTCTTTAAGTATGCGATTTTTCAAATTATTTATTAATTCTGGTTTTGTTGCATACACTCTAATTTTCAGAAACCCACCAAAAAAATCGAGTGGTGTTAGATCAGGAGATCGTGGTGGTCACTCAATTTCACCTCTTCCACCAATCCAACGGTTTAGAAACGTGCGGTTCAAAAAGTCTTGGACTGCGCGACTAAAATATGGAGGAGCACCATCTTGTTGGAACGACTTATTGTCAATACCATTAGGGCATACTTGGAACTACTTGATTTTCTAACAGTTGCAGATGTCTTCGTCCAAATTCACATTAATAAAAAATGGACCCAATTACATTCTCTCCCATAATACCAGCCCATATATTAATTTTCTGTAGACTCTGTGTAATATCTTCTCTTATTAAAATTGGATTTTCGTCACTTCAATAACGTCAGAGAAAACAACATTCAAAAGAAAATTTCTGTCAACTTCACATTTTTCACAGAATTCCAACCTTCTTTCGAAGTCACCTTCGTTTAATTCCTGAACTAGCTGAAACTTATAGGGGAAATAGTTATTTCTTTTCAAAATTCTGTGAACTGAACTTTTATCAATTTCATGTACCTGAGACCATTTTAATAAGGAACTTGAAGCTTCTTCAATAAAACACAGTAACACTTCTTCGGTTTTTTCTGGAGTTGTTGCAGATTTCGGTCTACCAGTTCTCGGAAGATCTTTCACAGTTGCTCTTGAAATTTGGAACAGTTCTTTCGACTGTTGATTTAGAAATCGGTGGTCGTTGATGAAAAAATCAGTGAAGACGTGCCGCCGCTTCATCGTAAGATCTTGTTCTATCCCCAAAGCTACGAATCATTAAAAGAGTGATTCTTTCTTTTTCCGTCAGCTTTTGCGTCAATTTTTGAGTTAATAAAAGTAAAATTTTGAAAACTAATTTGTTGAAAACAGTCGAAAGAAAACCTCACAATTCTTAAAACAGTGAAGATATTGGGTTTTGGTTTATGGGGTTGTCTTCTAATTGCATGGAACTTCTACATTGCATGAAAGTTCTAAACTATCTAAGAATGTAGTTTTTATTACTCTTTAGTGATCACCAAATTTTAAAATTTTTTTTTTCACTCGTTTAAAACTTATAGTTTCGTGAGTTTTGGGAAGTCTGTATATCACAAACAACTTCTAACAATTCTGTACACTTTAAGCGTTTTTTTGCAATTCTATGTGGTGTGCTTCAAGTCTGTAGAGATTCGTTGTGTTCGATCTTTAATTTTTATGTCTCTCTCTATCAAAACCAAACACAATTTATCCGTACTCAAACCAAGCTGAACGTAATTCATACCCATTCATACCCAAACTAGCAAATCCAAATTTGAAAACAGACCAACCCAAATCATGTATATTTAGCCAACACCCAAACTTTGCAAACAGAACAGAACCCGTCTCATTTAGAACTAAACCAAATTCAACTCTTCCACACCCAAACTACTCTAAACTACTCAAATTCATCCAATTTACAACCAAACCCAACCCACCACATCCAACCAAGATCATTAACATATAAATACAATAGTCAATAACTCAAAAACCAAAATAAATAGATGTGTACAAAAAAAAACAAAAACAACTAAATTTGGACAAAAATAAAGAAGTAAAATTGGTAACTTGTGTTTCGGCCATTTGTAATTTCAGCAAATTTTTTGGACTTTCAAGTTATTGCAGTTGTTTAACACTGTTATAACTGAATTGTTTTTAAAAATGCTCATTAAAAGAATATAATTTCTTATTTACCGTATAATTATACTGTATTATTAACCACGATTAAATATGATTGATGTTTATAAAGCCGCACCTTCAGAAGATTAAAAAGTGTTATTTTAACAAAACGTCTAGGACATACGAAATTGTTCCTTTTTGTGTTGGGAAAAATGTAAACGTTATTATCCTTTAATCCGGACCTGGCAGTATGGGGGAACCGGGTACAAAAATGTGAAATACTGCGACATAAAACCGCGTTGTCAGTCGGCTACCGCCGGTGCGATATTAAATGAGATGTGATGAGAATTGCGGGCGGCGTTATTGCGGAAAGTGCGCCCCTCGCCCGGGAAGTTATAGGTTATGTGTTTATTTCGCGTTATCTAATTACAACGTTTACTGCGGTCTCGGTGGAGATAGGGTGGGGGTTGGGAGGATTTGGCGGCTTGCTGTGGGGGATTTGCTCTGCGAGGACCTCGTGCGTCGTTTTTTGATTCTTTCCGGGCCGTCGCGGCTCGTCCGCGTGACCTACCGGATTCAAGCGCGCGTATTAAATGCAATTATGTTCATACTAACGAGAGCCAGCTTCTACAAATTGTACGTCTTTTCGCTTTTACGTCACACTAACCATTACCGCATTGCGTTACTTATTCAAAATTTAATTTAAAATTATAACTAGTCATCGAATATGTTACAACTAATATTTGAGTTTTAATGTCCCTAAAGGTTTCTCTAGTACCTAATATAATAATAAAAAGAAGATTGTTGAATTTATAGCAGTACAAGGAGAAGGTATCAAGAACAAAACAGACTCCAAAGTAAAACTTGGTGTAAGTCAACTTAACTGCGAGAGGGCAATTTATTAGAAGACGCTTTGTCCGCACGTTTTGTGGTCCTTTTTCCGTCGAGCCTGTACGAAGGGGAGTTCTGAGGGGTGGTTGAAAGCGGCACTAAAGTCCAAGTAGTTCTTAACTGCTAGCATACATCCTGCGCGAGGACCCCGTAATCTGACAAATGGTATGATTGCGTACGCCGTCATGAACGGGACGTGTTGCCGGGAGGAGGCAGGACCACTTCCCGGCGCATATAGTTGTCCTTCCGGCTGTATTGTCCCGGATTTATGTCCCCGCGGCGAGCATTGTCCTGCGGACTGTCTGTCGTCCTGCCGGAGCGCCGTTAACACAATGCCCGCAATGCAGTCGCCTCACTTGTACCAGGACCTAGGACACTACCACCGGCGCGCACTAGCTACAATACATTATTCAAGGACATGGCGGATGCAGGCGTTACTTTCATGTACAGACCCCCTTTAACTAATTCCATTTGTTTATCCGTACCGACATTCGAACATAGAATACTACTTAATTGGCACTGCTGGAACATCCTGAGCTAGAATATAATCGTATACGTAAAGGGCATATTCACTAATCCTCGGATTGTGGGATCAATGTGATGCCACTACACAAGGAAATGGATAAATTTTTCATTGCCTATATTAAGGTAATCTTATTAAAACTTTAAATCCATTAAATTCATTACTTTACTTACTTTTAATAGGTTATGTAATTAGTAACATTTATCCTCCATTATAATCAGCAATTATCATCAGAAACACACTTCAATTTCAACAGTAAAACACGTTAGAATGTAAGGAAACCCAAAGACACCTAAAGACGTTTAAATATCACGCGGTGTGGTAACATCTGTTTCTCAGATTAATTTCACGCGCCGGAGTTCCGTTCCCGTCTCCCCCATGTTCCCTTTTCCGTTTCGAGACGTATTTTACTGAAATTACAGGTAAACTTTAAGCCGCAAGGCGCCCCATGAGGACGAGGACGACGGTCTTGTCTGGGGTGGCGCGTTGAAAAATCCCCGGGGTCCTCCCCATAAACTACTGTCTTCCGGAGAGATCAGCGCCGTTTTATTTCGGTGCCGTGATGTATGGATGCCGACCGAGCTCTGGATACGACTTTGCCAGGGACGACGACGCCGAAGGCCTGCACTTGCCCGATAAAAGAGGGACCGGGACGAAATATTGTGACGAAACGATGATATACGCCGTCAAACAAATCAGCGGTCACCGGGATTCTGAGTTGTTGCCGACTACCGTTTGTAGAATCAGGTCACGTACTGATCCTTTGTGGGCGAAGTAAATTTTGCCATCGTGTTTGGTCATCCGTTTAATAACCGTGTGATATACGATTGCTTCTATATTCGAAATATTTTCAAAGAAGAATCCCGTAAACATTTTCTAACTATCCAACAAATCCTTATTTTGTAGCATCGCCTTTTTTTATAAAACGGCCGAGGGCTAGTGACGTTTAATATCCATATATTACTCGGACCTAACCCGTTTGCGCCCGCGGGCGGCCGTGTCGCAAAAAATAACATGTATCCTCCTTTTTTTAATCGCCACCGCTGCCGCTGTGCAGAGCCCGGCTTTTAATGCTCTCTCGGTCGTGCTTTGATTACGCAACGACCCGAGAATGATATATGCATAATTTAATGCGTGCGCCGCTGTTAACGTTTCTTTGATAAGCGGAATGTGCCGTTGTGAAACACTGCGTGTCCCTTTGCTTTATGACCAAAGTCGTTTCAGACGATGCACTAATGGCCCGGGAACCAAGTCGCAGTTCAACTTGAAAAGCGGACTAGAAATTAAAAACGTCCATCCCAGGAAATAATAACTTATTCGTAAACCAACCCTCCATTAATGTTATATTTATTTATTTTTCTTGAAAATCTATAAAAATTTATGAAAGATAAAGGGATCTGTGTTGTTTATAGTATAATCCTTTCCTAAAAAGTAATCAATATGTAAGTACTGTAATGATTTTTTTTTGATTTATTTAAAAATATGTAAAATGAAGTCATAATTCTATTAAATCTATTTCTATTAAATTTGCAAACTCCAATAAATAATTCGACTGTTTAAATTTAAAAAATTCAAATAAAATTTTAATTCCAGAACTAGCGACGTTGTCAAGTTTAGTCTAGCGTGACCTGTTCAGGGTAATAGCCGGTTCATACGCTTGGGTTAACTCGTAAACAAATCTTTTAAGTAAAATTCAACGAATTAACTGTGATAAAACGATAACAAATTTCTTAAATTTTAGTTAATACGAAGTACAATTAACGGTTTTATTATCCCATCAAATTGACGAAAATAACTTGTTTATGTAGTAACAACATAACCACAAAAAAATAATAATGATATAAAGAAATGAATTATTACGAGCAATATCTCAGAATTATCTTTCGTATTGAAGGTAAGTGATAACGATTACTAAATTATAACACAAATAAATTTAAAGAAAATAACACTTACAATTAGCTTAGTTTGTTGATTGTAAAAAAGCGACGGTACGGGATTCTGGGATTATCAGGAACGGGAACCAAAATGATGTTTCTTCATCAGGTTATTTTTATTAGTTTTTTCTTTGAATCGGAGAAACACGTCAAATACATTTTTTTTGAGGTTATGTCAACATTTATTTTTTTACATAACCTAAAATGTTGTTTATAATGTTCGACGGGACAAAATTTACGAGTGTTCTCCCCCAAGGTTAAAATCACACTAAAAATTTAAATTTTCGTTTGTTTAATGTTTGAAATTGAAAAATAGTCTTTCCTGATTGGTTAATTTCCTTAACTTGAAATTCGTTTTTATAATTTCCCGATATAACCAACTTTAACATATGAAATGTCACTAATTTAATTTGATTAAATATTATTAAAAAAATTTTAATAACTATATTTATGTATGAAATTTCATAATTTTAATGCTTCTTTAAATTGATTTTCAGATATCTGATCATTTTCTTCTATATTCAACGGCAAAATTCCCAAAATGGCTCAAATCTTGAGATTATGGATTTTCATCTAAAATTTCATTAATTCACACAAAGGACGGCTGTTTTCCATTCTTACTATGCTAAGATTATCATTTTCAATAGCTTCAACCGGATAAATAAGGATTTGAATAAGAAATTGAGAAAAGAATGAAATTGAGGTTATCTATCTGTCAGGGGGTATTTAAAATTACTTCATATCGACTTTACATGGGTTATATACAATAAAAAACAGCAACGGCCAATAATACATAACGGAATTTATCAGTAAATAATATTTTATATTACAATAAATAAATTTATAATCATTCATAACATTCTCTTACATTCAATGCGATAAGTCTTTAAATCTTCAAAATAATGTTTTATTATGATTATAATCAATCATAATTACATAACTACATCATCCTCCGTGCAAGACCAAATTGTCCAAAGTGGCTGGAAAATGGTGTACCTAAATAAACTGGAAACTTCGACCTTAAAATATAACGGCAACGATATGAACGCCATAAACTACATCATGGAAACAGGGATAAATCAATTCATCATCATGGTTTGCGATGTATGGACATGTTCTGTACGTCCATTATAATTAGCCTCCTTTTCGACTGAGACATCTTTTCACTGTGAAAAATGAGAGAAAAAGTGTTACTTACCACCATCCACACCACCTTGTTGAAAATCGTCTTTATGGCGTACCATAGTCCTAAACTTCGTAACATTTCGTCAGCCAACCCTGTTTAGTAATAGTGAAAAAACGCCTAGACGAATCAGGAGTAGATGATGGAGCTGAGGTCGAGGTCAAAGCTGCTGACGCTCCTCATGCTTCCTTAGCAAAAAGAATATAATCATTAATTTCTTTATTTATGAAAATAAGATGATAATGAGATATCAAATTAAAGCTGAAGATGTCTTTTTAATAAAATGCATAATACTATTAAAAAAGTATGCAGGGTGTTAGGTAAACATGCGGAAAAAATTCTAGGGGTTATTCAGTAGCCTATTCTGAGAATATTTTGTCATACGATAATTTTTGAAAAACCCCTTTGTTTCATTTTATTATCAAAAAGTACATATAAAGTTACTTAATCTACAATAAATGTTCGAAATGACTTCCTCCAGCCTGAATATAAGCATTCAATGTTCTCGTCATTGATTGCCGAACTCTTTCAAACACACCAGGGTCGTTTATAATTGAGTTACACCCAGCAATTATTCGATTTCGCAAATTGTCCAAATTCTCCACTGGAATATCGTAAACTAATGACTTCAGAGATCCTCAGAAAAAATAACCCAGGGGGTTTAAGTCTGGGGATCGAGCAGGCCATGCGTGTGGCCCACCATGGTGTGGTGATGCACCATCGTGCATAAACCACATTGCAATTCTTGTCACGTATGATACATCCTCGAGAAACTCAGGTAGCGTTTCTGCCAAAAAGTTGCGATACACCACGCCAGCAAGCCTTCCTGATAGAAATACCGGTCCAATTAGATATTCAACCACAATTCCAACCCAAACATTCAAGGAGAATTGATGTTGCAAATGATCTTCACATACCTCATGCGGATTTTTATCTGCCCACATATGATTATTATGAAAATTCTTTATTGCATTTCTTGAGAAACTGGCTTCATCGGTAAAAAGAATCTGTGTTAGGAATAGAGAGATGCGAACTAATGTTTGCAATATCCATTGACATAATGTAATACGTGGAGGAGAATCAGCAGATAGTAGTGCTTGAAGGCGTTGAATGTGGTATGGATACAACAAATTGTTCAATGATTTACATTCAAAGTATTTGCAATTCAGGATACCAGGATCTTCCTCTATCATGTCCAGCATATTCTGTTCTAATTGTATCGTTCTTGCATTCATTGATCTTCCTAGCCCTCCACTTCGTTTTAATGAGCCTGTTTCACGAAGACGTCAATGAATGTTTTCGAAGATTTTTCGGTCGGGGACATTACGGGCAGGAAATCGTTGGATATACAATCGTCTAGCTTCTGAGGAGCAAGTCTATACATGAAATGCATGTCATTCATCTTGGGTTGGTATAAATCATAATAGAGTATAATGAATGATTCTAGTTCTAGGTTTTTTGTTAGTTCTAGTGATAGTGTTAGTCTTGCTTTATTTATTATTCAGCGCTAAATTGTTGTATATTTTTATTGATCTATAACGGATAAATGATTTCAATGTATACAAATGTTTGGAGATAAAAAATGATTATAGAGGATGACGTTTTTTAAATAACTTAAAGCCCATTAAAAAGTAGTTAATTTTTAAAACATCATTACTTATTTATGAAAATAAAGAATTGATTTATGTGTCAAATTAAAGCTGAAAAAGTTCGAACAAAAAAAGTTTTGAGATAAATATTAATAAATATATTGACGTTTTTAGGTAACTTAAAATCCCTTTAAAAATTAATTTACTATACTCTGTTTTTAAACCAGGAGGAGTATTTTAAATTTGTCACCAGATTGACCTTGCACGTGATTGGTTGAATGCGAGGAAGGTTCACACACAGGCAATTTTGAATTTTGAATTTGAAGGTTAGGTAATTGATAATTCGACAGTTTCGTGTCATTATTGTATATTTTGTGTTCTTAAACCCTTTTTTATTATATTTTGAAATAAATACACTCATAACTTCAATGTTAATTTGTATGTATAGTGTTGACGATAACAAACGAAAATAAATACAATAATAAGTAAATAAATAAATAATAATTATTAATTTAAATTTACCGCCAAAATATCTAGTGATATTTTCTGGTGATTTTTTCCAGTGTAAATCTGACTTTCGCGTTTACTCCTCCTGGTTTAAAAACAGAGTATAGTTCTAGTGCAAGTGTTAGTTCTAGTTTTAATTGTTATTCAGCGCTAAGTTGTATATTTTTAAGTTTCGGGTTTAGCCCTGTGTCTTCAGACGCTGAATGTTAGGTAAGGTTAGTTTTGTTTACAAACATTAATTATACCATGAAGTATTCTTTGGCAATTAGTAATGGCAATTATAGCGTGAAGTTTTCTTTTGTAATGTCAATTATAGCGTGAAGGAATGTTAGGTAAGGTTAGTTTTGTTTACAAACATTAATTATACCATGAAGTTTTCTTTTGTAATGTCAATTATAGCGTGAAGGAATGTTAGGTAAGGTTAGTTTTGTTTACAAACATTAATTATACCTTGAAGTTTTCTTTGCAACTCTGTTTTTAAACCAGGAGGAGTATTTTAAATTTGTCACCCGATTGACCTTGCACGTGATTGGTTGAATGCGAGGAAGGTTTGGATATGGCAAATTTTTTCTGCTTGTTGTTATCCATTACAACTTTTTTGAAAGACAGAGCTAAAGTGTGGACGTAGTTAGGAATAATATCTTGAGTAACGGCAACGACACGGACATTTTTTGAAGATTTTTTTAACTGACTTATATGTTCTTCGGGTGTGTAGATCCGTTCAACTTTTCGAATGTATTTTTCAGTTCTCCCAAATGATCGGTCACATGGCAAAAAACTGTGACCGGGTTCTGGGAAGCGGTGCACAATCTTTTCGAATCTGCCATTTTGAACCAAACAATATAGATATTGCGTAAGGCTATGATTCTTATTTTGAGCGGCACAGTTATCAGAAAAAAGGTATAGCACCTTTACATGTGTCTTATCTAACACATTTTCAATGAAGTGTGCCAAAAAGCTGATAGTCTCATTTGGGGTTTTTCTACCAGTCACTTCATCATAGACATAGTACGTAGATTTTTGCAGCTTAGCAGAATGAATACAGAAGTTGTATATCCATAGTTGGCGAAGATAGAATGCGTCACCGGATGGCACCTTAGGAAGCGGAGCATTTTGCTGGAAGTCAAAGCAAAGAGTATCGACTTTTGGATCTTCAAGAGCACTCGACGTTTTTTGCGAGAGGTCATCAAAAAATGTCTTGGCCTTATTTTGGTGCAATGATAGCTGTGCTTCTATCTCATTCAATTCTGCGTCTGTATGAACTGACTTTTTCTTGTTCGCCAAAGTATCGTAAAGCTGGCAGGTGTCGGATCTTAGATGCCCAAAGTGATAGTTTGCAAAATTTGCTTTGAAATACCTATAATAGAAGTCATAGGTAACGGCTGGTTTAAAACCAGGGGATCGATCTTGATTTTCCTGTATTAACTTGCGAATATTGAGTTCAGGCGAGAGGTAGTATTTTCCATTGTTTTTAGACCGACTGTAATGTGATTTTCGTTTTGGAAATTCTGTTATATGCGTGTGAATAGATTCAACGATTTCTGGTGATATGGCATTGGGTCTATTGGAATGTCTACCTCTCATATCTCCAGGTAAAGTTAGAGTAGAAGGCTTTGCCAAATTTGCTGCAATATTTTCTACTCGTTTTGCAGACACACCGTGAAGTGCACAGAAAGCCTTCTTACAAACATCAAACACTTCTTGACCAAGACGAATCTGAATAATATTGCCCAAAGTTATTATAAAAATATTAGTATAAAACCGACTTTACCTTATATTTATTAGAAGCAGACTTGGCTCTTCTGCTTCCAGTACGATGTCGTGATCTTACAGGGACCGTAGACGTTACAAGTCCTGCTAAGTACTGATTCTGCACGGAGTGTTCACCCAATTCATTAAATTTTTGCAAAATTTGTTGTTGTTTTTCTTGATTCACTTTTAAAAAACACTTTTTTCTACATTTGCAGTCTTTACCGATTGTTCTTGCAGCAACCAGCTTGTTAACTGAATTTATATGCTCTTCTCTGGATGCGACTTTTTTTTTTTTCGTATGTTTCTTCTCCACATTTCTGGATGGCTCTTTTTCTGTCGTTTGCATCTTTGAACCGCAGCTGTTTCCTGATTTTCGTCACGGCTCGAATTTGAACTGTTTTCCGGTTCGTAATTATCAGAAGAGCCAGAGCTAAAAGGTTCTCTTTCACTGTCACTGTGCTCATATTCCATTTTATAGATATTAACTTATTTTGAGGTTAGAAATGAAAGGCTTTAATTGGCGCAAGAAAGATGCAAGTCCGGACTTACATCATTATTGCACCAAATAAGTTTGGGCGCGTAAGTCCTACATAGCAATTAGGCAACCAATTATTACTGTGTGTGAATCTTTCTTGCACTAAACAATGGGGAATAGCTAAGTTGGTGTAATGGTGGACTTTACTCCATTTTGTTCAAAATGGACTTACCTCTTTCTTGCAGCAAGGTCTTCAAATACAATAATAAGTAAATAAATAAATAATAATTATTAATTTAAATTTACCGCCAAAATATCTAGTGATATTTTCTGGTGATTTTTCCTAGTGTAAATCTGACTTTCGCGTTTACTCCTCCTGGTTTAAAAACAGAGTATAGTTATGACAACAAAAGTATCACCATTAAAAAAACATTATTAATTTTATTAATACGCTTTATATTAAGTAAAACTTTTCGAGATTAATATAAGTACGGGACTGAATTTCTAGTTGAGCTGACTGCGCTGTGGTAATATTTTTAATTTGTTTTACAACAGTGGCCGTAGCTTTGCACCGCATAGCAGTGACCAGGAAACGGCCCCCCCATTGTTTCGCTGATAATATTTTAGCGTCCTTCCGGATTGAACGGACGACCCATTCGCGCCCCTTCGCCTCTACCAACTTTTATAGCACTTCTAGCCGGGCCGCATTTGTTCACGATTTGATTTGTAGTTTTCATAATTTTATGTTTTTTTTTCTGTTTGCCGAACCAGTGGCGTCGCGGACGGTGGGTGCAAATGCGGTGCGCGGTGTGCGTGTGAAAAATGTCCACTCCTGATTTATTATTTACTATAGCATAGTTCCGCGCCGTAATGCGAATCGTAAATCACGTGCCCACGTTTGTTTTGCACCGATCGCCATTACATATATCGTCGTCGCTAAATGCAAACAAATTAATATCGGCTGTCCCCCCCCAAAAAAAAAAGGAATAAAAAAATTGGTCATACTCGTATATTCCGTTTTTATTTTTCACAAAAATTTTTACGAAAGGAAAGTTTAATACAAATAGTTTTTAATATTTTCATCGTAACTATCGATAGGATCTGTATAATATAAATCTAATATTTCAGCTGAAGCGGGGAAAAAACTTAATAAATGAAACCATGATTTTCTTTGTAACGAAATTAAAACGGTGGGTTGTCGAACTTTATAAGTATACATGTGAGGTGTACCAGGAAATAATCCTTGTTCCAATCCAAAAGAATCCCCAGATTCTAAACTTAACGCAATCGTTTCTTTTTCTAAAGAATCTTCGGTTAAAGCATCGATGACCCCTTCGTGTAAAAAATACATTGTTTGATCGACATCACCTTGATAAACGACATGATTTCCAGGGAAGAAAATGATTACTTTCATGCAAGCAGCCATCTGTCTTATTAAATCGATATGAAAATTTTTAATCACCGGATGGTTTCGGAGATGATAACCAAACATAGCGTTTAAAGTCGCTTCTTTTAAATAATAAGGAGTTTTTTCCAATAAAAGCGGATTTAAAACTCCACGATAATTCGACCAAAGCAAATTAACGTAAACTATTATTTCACGATTAAGCGGAATCGAAACGTCGTATGTTTCCATGTATTCTTTGACGTCCAATGCAAATTCTTTGTATGAATTCCTACTTTTATTGATAGCCTCCAAAATAGCGCAAGTTTCAGCGATAAAAAGAGTTACTATAAATCTTCCTAATATTGTAATAAGCACGCAAAGTAATGATACCGCGAAAGTATATTGTATGCCAAGATTTGTTAATGGTGCTCCGAATGTTGTACAAGCAATAACAAAAATTGAATTTAGATACAACATAGATTTCGAGTTTAATGGAGGTTCGAGCGTTGGAACGGTGAAATATCTTGAGTAAAAAAAGCAAATTCCCATTATTTGCACATAAATTGATGTTACAGTTAAGATGTATAAAACTCTTATTAATGCTACGTTTATGTGTAATTTTTCTTGGATTTTGTCTAAAATATTTACAACTAAATGTATTCTTAATAATTTCACCAGTCTTAATGCGTTGAATATGATTGGAAAATATTGAGACCAGACGAAACAGTATCCGAATAAATCGAATGGGGCACCCACTAAGATGTCAAAATATAAACCAGGTTCTTGTTTAACGTAATTTATGATGATATCCTTTTTATTACGAACAGAAATTCCATACACATCGATATAGATCGTATGTAGTTTAAGAAACATCCTGATTATAAATAAAAGATCCATTAAATGGAGAATACTTAATTTATACCAATCAGTGTCCATAACAGCTTTTTGATATCCTTCGTAATGAAATCCGATTAAACAAGAAATAATCATAAGAACATTGTTTGCTATGTGAACAGCTTCGTAATTTTTTATTAAAGGGCTGCAGGTGAAGTAAAAATCATAAAACTTTTTCTTCTTTATTGCCAAAATCGTAGACGTTGTTTCGTGTATTCTCTCAATTGAAGTGAACTCATTTTGTAAGAAATCTACGTTTACCAGAGTTAATTCTTGAAAGTGATCATTCAACGAAGCATAATTACTTATAATCTCATGAAACGTTTTACTTTCAATAATCAACACCTCCAAATTACTTCTTGCGGCCATTATTAATAATTGTCTCGTATAAGTTTCTTTACCCAAATTACCAAATATACTACCCTCTCTCAACACTTTCAATCTGTTATGATCCGCACCCAAAACTTCCACCTCCCCATTTAAAATAAAATAAATATCGTTTACAATATCGTTAACCCGATACATGGTCGCTCTTTTCAAAAAAACTTGGTGATTCATCTCAACTATTAAACATTTAAAAAACGATGTTGGAGCGTTATAAAAAACGGACGTTGAAGCTAATGATTTACTAAATTTACTGTAAAGGACGTCTTCTTTAAAGCATGGTTTGAAGTAATCCATTACGTGGTTTACATTTTTACCACTTTTCTTCACCCACATAAATTCGAAATGATTGATAACTTCCCTCTTAATTTTTTTGTCAATTTTTCGAAACGAATAAAAATTTATTAAATTTTTCATTTCTTGTTGATAAGATGTTAAATCACTGTTTCTATAAATATAAAAAAAATTTATATTTTTTGTTTATGATAATGAAAGTATAAGGTAAAAACGATTTAAATCATAATGAAAAGTTTTTGATGTCAAAAATCACATTTTGTAACAATATTAAGTAAAATTAACCCAAATCATATCAGTTTAAAAATTTAACACGTTTGAAGTATGAACCTCTGTGGATCTTGAATATACTAAGAAGTTAAAAGTGGAATTTCTGTAATTCTAGGACGTTGTCACTTTTATAAAGTACGTGCTAAAATAATTACAATATCACGAAATAGCAGAGTCACAAAGCTGAAATTTTACAAATAATTTGTATTTATTTCAGTAGTAAATCATAAAAATTTAAAAAAAAACAATTTCTGTCAATAAATTCTATGCGAGGCATGCTCTGAATGAGAGATCTCGTGTAGCCTGGGATGAGATTCCACAAGATACAAGGCGTTTCCTGTTTGTGATACACAGAAATGTCTTATACAGGGTGATTCTCAACCTATACGCATAAACTTGGGGATAAATAATGGGGTGAAAAAATTTGTAGTAAAAGATTGTTAGTTTTCTAGATATCAAAGCAAGTGTTCCAAATTGTTTCCAAGTGTAAATATATTCTTTTGTTATTATTATTATTATTGAAGAAAAAAAAAGCGCTTCGACGTCATAGGCCATTAGCACTCACAATAATTTCACTCAGGACCACATAGTAGCATATTAAGAGTGTTCAAAGTTGGTCGAATAGTAGGCAGACTGTATGCTTGTTATATTATAAATATTTCTTGCTTGTTCATATAATGTACATTCTACAATGATGTGGTCTAAAGTGAGTTCCCTATTACAATTTGAACACATGTGTCTCTGCTTCCCTTTTAACATATATTTGGAGGTCAACGATGTATGGCCAATGCGCAATCTACTTAGTTTCACTTGTTCTGACCTGCTTAATTCCCTTTCGGAACTTAGTCGATAGACGTGGGATTTGATTTTTCTCAAGAAACTTGGAGTATTTTGCCATTATTGTTATAAATCAAGGAACTTACATGTTTTGCAATATCTTTATGTCTGCAAAAGTTGTGCTTTATCTGCAGCCTCGGACGCTGCACAATCAGCACGTTCATTCTCCCCAATTCCAACGTGACTTGGCACCCATATAAAAATTACTTTATGATTTTGTTTTGTGATGCTGTTTAGTGTGCCTAAGATTTGTTGTACCATTGCTTCTTTTGTGTACAGGTTTTGTAAGGATTTGATACTACTAAGCGAATCACTTATTATTACAAAATTGCGGTTATTGAGGTTCATATTTATGTATAATAGTGCTTGGAATATTGCATATAACTCTGCAAGAAATATTGAGGAACATGGTTGAAGCATCCAGGAATGTTCTGTATTATCGACCCATATTGCACTACCAACACCGTTTCCTTTTTTTGATCCATCAGTGTAAACACAAAAGGCATCAGGGTAAGTATGCACTATGTTGTGAAAATCAGCAAGAAACATTGCATGGGGGGCGTTTGATTTGGAAAATTTAGTGAGGTCCAATCTAGCTTCAATGGGATTTAACAAGCATGGAGAGACTTCAGAATATTGGTAGGTATGCCGTATCTAAAGATTGTATCAATTCTTGTGCACGAACGATAGTTGGTCTATCACGAAATTTCGTGATATTCAATCGGCAAATACGGCCAAAAACATCCTACTCTACAAACGTACAACATATAGACTAAAACTTCAACTACAACACATTAAATTTCTTAGAATTTGTCTGAAAGAAGAGATTTTTCCACCTTTTGTAAACAAAAAATACCCTGGATACATTCGAGAAGATGAAATAAAACAGTTAAAGACAAAATACATTAAGAAGAGTATCAACGATCATTACAGAAAGATCAACTTACTTAACATAAAGTTATATAACATCTACCAAACATTAAACAATAATTTACACTACATTCAGATAGAATGCATGATAAAAGAAGCAAAGATACATGATAATATTTTGTTGAAACAGATAAAGATGAAGAAAATCGAAAAACTAAGGAAACTTAAAGAAGAAAAACTAAGAAGAACAAAAAAGGAAGAGAGAATGAATAACATACATAGCTTTTACCCTGGATTTACTAATTTAACTGATGTTAATTTTAACTTAGAAGAACAAAAAATATTGGACAAGGGAATGAAATTTGCTCCAAAAACGACAACGACACTACCATACACCGCAATAGAAATCCAGGCAGCAGTGATAGGACACAAAGAAGGTAATAAAATAAAGAAAGACATTCAACATATACTTATAAAAGAAGAAAGAAATAGAAGACATAGCGGTAAGAACGAAGAAAGAGAGGAGAAGAGGACAATGAAGATAATCAAGGACATAAGACAGAAGATAAAAACCAATAATCTGATTGTGACCCCGGGTGATAAAAATGCCGGGATGATAATGATGCGAAAAGAAGAATATATAGATAAAACAGAAAAATTTCTTCAGGACAATAAATTTAAAGAACTTAAGAAAGATCCTACAAAGGCATTCCACAAAGAAACTAAACGACTAGTAAAAACATGTGAAAACACAATTAAAAAAATCATAGGTAATTATAAATATAACCTTCCAATGAACCCTCAAACCCCTAAACTATACAGTTTATTGAAATTGCATAAAGAAGGCCAACCGATTCGACCTATAATCAGCAGCGTTAATTCCAGCACTTACAATTTGTCTAAAAGGTTGGTTAATTTCCTTAAAAATGACATTAAATTCAAACCAGAATATACAATAAATAATAGAAACCAACTAATTTCGCTACTTAAGGACATAAAAATGGAAGACAACTACAAAATAATTTCATTTGACATCTCTAACCTGTATACAAATGTACCTGTTTTGGAGACCACTGAAATAATTAAAGAAATCATTCAAGACTCATTAAATGATGATGAAGACATTAAAAATACACAATTATTGTTTAAACAATGTGTTAAACAGAATTTCTGTCAATTCAATAATACCATTTATANGTATAACCTAAAAGTGTCAAAAAAGATGCTAATTTAAAAATTCCTGGAAGCCGTATTTATTGAAAGTAAGGAATGAAACTTATTTTAAATTAAAGCGCAAAGTTTTCTCTTTAAAATGATGTATAATAATTGTTGGGTTGGATTGGAAAAATATTAAAAAAAAAAATGTTGAAACAACACATTTAAAAGAGTCAAAATAGAAGCTAATTTAAAAATTCTTGGAAGCCATCTTTATTGAAATTAAGGAATGAGACCTATCTTAAATTTAAGCTCAATGTTTTCTTTTTAAAATGATCTGTAATAATCACACCTAATAACCATTTATCAAANATAAAACTATGGCGAAGATATGTTGATGACATTTTGGTAATAATAGAAGACGAAAAACATATAAATGACCTACATAATTACATCAACAAATTACATAAAAATCTTAACTTCACCATAGAAATAGAAGAAAATAGCTCTATAAATTTCCTTGATCTCACCAAACCAACTCAGACTGATTGCATTATACCTTATAACTCCTACCACGATGAATCGCTGCCTTTAGAGCGTACATTTGGAGAACATTAAACTCAAGCCTAAAAGCAGCAGAAACAGAAAAAGAACTTCTAATCATACAGCAGATCGCAACGAAAAATGATTTTCCGCAACATAGAATACATAAACTGATAAACAAAATACAACACAAAACCAATTTATATAATATCACTACTCTAACCAATGACAAAAAAGTGAACGATACAACATATAGATCAATATCATTTCCTGGAAAAATTTCCCACAAAATTAAAAACGTATTTAAACAATACGATATATGTTTATCTTTTAAAACAAAAAATACTCTAAGAAATATTCTAATAAATAACAAAGACCAAACAAATCATTTGCAGAAAAGCGGTATATATCAGTTAGATTGTAACACTTGCGGAGCAATCTATATAGGAGAGACAGGAAGAGATCTTAGTCAACGGATTCGAGAACACAAAACAAAAGAGAACTCAAATTTTGGAAGACACCTAATGTTCCAAAACCATGATTTCGACGAAGACAAAAATAGTAAAATTTTACACCGACTAGATAAGGGAAATTTTATGGAGATTATGGAATTATATGAAATAAATAAGTTCATACATAAACACCCAAACAAAACGATCTTAAACGACCAAATAACACCTCAATATACACCCCTATATCTATGTTTAAAGGACCCTTATCTTACAAACGAGAAATTCAAAAACTAAAATCGATGATAGTTGAGTTCGTTTGTGTGAAATGTGATTTTTTACATTGAATTAATATTGTATTATTATCAAGGTCAACCTCTCAAAGTTCTGTTTATCAACTTTAACATAACCTCGCTATAACTCCAACCCTCCAACCGCACTGTGTTATAACACGTGAAAATACAGATAATACCTAAAAAATATTCATGTTGGAGAATTTTTTAATTTATGTGTACCGTTTCTGACGTAAGTTTATTTGTATTATTGTATTCTATTTAATTTTAATTTAATTGTACGTTATGTAGACGTCTTCTGAGGACGACCAAGTAGTCGAAATCGATTAGGACAATTAAAATAAAACAACATCAAAAAGTATATTAAGAGAAATTTGAATTCAATAGTTGGTCTGGTAGCTGTCAATCTAAAGGTAAGTGTTTGTTGTTGGATTATCGCGTAAATTGGATTATTTGGTCTAAGATAGTAGTTTACTAATTGTATATCTCGTCTATAATTCAAGGGAGGTAAACCTGATTCACTATATAGACTATTGATAGGGTGTGGCGTGATTTTTCAATGTTGTTTTGATTGTCAACTTTCTAAAGTAAATAAACATACTAGAACGCCTATAGGAGAATTTAATATTCCAAGAGCCCGTATCGAACATATTCATATAGATCTCGTTGGGCCTCTTGCTCCATCTGACGGAAGTACATTTATTCTTACTGTTATTGAGCGCTTTACAAGATGGACTGAAGCTTTTCCTCTTTCCAATATAACGACACCCACGATTGCTAATGTTCTTTTCACTCATTATTTTTCAAGATTTGGTATCCCTCATACTATTACGCAAGATCAAGGCAATTAATTCAATAAATTTTTCGGTTCAAACCAAATTCATACATCTACTTATCATCCCCAAAGCAACGGTATTCTGGAGAGATTTCACAGATCTTTAAAAACTGCTCTTATTGCAAGAGGTAATACAGATCGTTGGAAACACGAACTTCCACTAGTTCTTTTAGGCCTCCGTTCCTCCCTAAAAGAAGATCTTGGCTGTACATCTGCAGAACTGGTTTATGGTCAACCTCTGCATCTTCCAGGTGAATTTTTTACAAAAACGTATAATGCCATTGATACTTTCCTTCATTAATTTCTTTACGCGAAACTTTTTCAAATCTATTGTTCTCCGAAACCATTTGTACATAAAGAATTATTTTTGTCCGATTATGTGTTCCTTCGAGTTGAAAACAAAAGAGCAAATTTATCACCAAAGTACGAAGTACCATTCAAAGTGATTAGAAAATTTTCAAACAATTTCATCATTTCACGATTTAATAGAAACCAAACAATAAATATTTCTCGCTTAAAACCTGCTTTTATTTTTAAAAAACTTCCTGAACCAAGTCCAAATCAAATTTACAACTTATCACCTAATATGCCGTTTAAAAAAAGAGTGAGTTTTCAACTTTAAAAGATTTAAATATTTTTTTTCCATTGTTGCAAATAGCGTTACTTGTTGTTTTCGAGGGGTTACTTGTTATTCCCTGCCACATTGATCTTACTACCTTTTTAAAAAATCAAGAAATCTGTTTTTACGTTACTATGTATAAGTTCATTTTTTAATTAATTATATAGACTTCAGCAAAAGAAAAAGTCAATTATTTTATTTTCAAAATACAAAATCTTTTTCAAAAAATACTATTATTCTATTATTTTATAATATGTGAGAAAACCCCCACATAGGGCTTGTAGGAATATTCTTTTGTTATTATAACTTTTCATTCCTCGACATGATTTGTGTTCACCTCAAAACCCCTTTTGGTTTACTCCAAATTACATTCATTGTGGATTCAAAAGATCTAATTAGTTGTAAACTCAAAACTTTTTATACCTAATTTAATGACTTAACCCTTTGTGTCCCAAGAAGTCAAACATTTTGAAACTTTGTGACAGAATCAGATAGAATTAAAACGCTATCAAAATACACTCAGTAAAGGCCTTTGGAATAAAATAGCAAAATATGCAATCCCCCTATTTTCGCATAGTCTAAGTGTCAAAAAAGATGCTAATTCAAAAATTCCTGGAAACCGTGTTTATTGAAATTAAGAAATAAAACTTATTTTAAATTGAAGCTTAAAGCTTTCTGTTTAAGTCGATGTATAATAATCGATGGGTTGAATTAGAAAAATATTGAGAAAAAGAGTATTGAGTTAAAACTAACATTTTCGTATAACCTAAAAGACTCAAAAATGATGCTAATTTAAAAATTCCTGGAAGCCGTATTTATTGAAATTAAGGAATGAAACTTATTTTAAATTAAAGCTCAAAGCTTTCTCTTTAAAATGATGTATAATAATTGTTGGGTTGGATTGGAAAAATATTGAGAAAAAAAATGTTGAAACAAAACTTACATTTTCGTATAACCTAAAAGTGTCAAAAAAGATGCTAATTTAAAAATTCCTGGAAGCCGTATTTATTGAAATTAAGGAATGAAACTTATTTTAAATTAAAGCTCAAAGCTTTCTCTTTAAAATGATGTATAATAATTGTTGGGTTGGATTGGAAAAATATTGAGAAAAAAAATGTTGAAACAAAACTTACATTTTCGTATAACCTAAAAGTGTCAAAAAAGATGCTAATTTAAAAATTCCTGGAAGCCGTATTTATTGAAATTAAGGAATGAAACTTATTTTAAATTAAAGCTCAAAGCTTTCTCTTTAAAATGATGTATAATAATTGTTGGGTTGGATTGGAAAAATATTGAGAAAAAAAATGTTGAAACAAAACTTACATTTTCGTATAACCTAAAAGTGTCAAAAAAGATGCTAATTTAAAAATTCCTGGAAGCCGTATTTATTGAAATTAAGGAATGAAACTTATTTTAAATTAAAGCTCAAAGCTTTCTCTTTAAAATGATGTATAATAATTGTTGGGTTGGATTGGAAAAATATTGAGAAAAAAAATGTTGAAACAAAACTTACATTTTCGTATAACCTAAAAGTGTCAAAAAAGATGCTAATTTAAAAATTCCTGGAAGCCGTATTTATTGAAATTAAGGAATGAAACTTATTTTAAATTAAAGCTCAAAGCTTTCTCTTTAAAATGATGTATAATAATTGTTGGGTTGGATTGGAAAAATATTGAGAAAAAAAATGTTGAAACAAAACTTACATTTTCGTATAACCTAAAAGTGTCAAAAAAGATGCTAATTTAAAAATTCCTGGAAGCCGTATTTATTGAAATTAAGGAATGAAACTTATTTTAAATTAAAGCTCAAAGCTTTCTCTTTAAAATGATGTATAATAATTGTTGGGTTGGATTGGAAAAATATTGAGAAAAAAAATGTTGAAACAAAACTTACATTTTCGTATAACCTAAAAGTGTCAAAAAAGATGCTAATTTAAAAATTCCTGGAAGCCGTATTTATTGAAATTAAGGAATGAAACTTATTTTAAATTAAAGCTCAAAGCTTTCTCTTTAAAATGATGTATAATAATTGTTGGGTTGGATTGGAAAAATATTGAGAAAAAAAATGTTGAAACAAAACTTACATTTTCGTATAACCTAAAAGTGTCAAAAAAGATGCTAATTTAAAAATTCCTGGAAGCCGTATTTATTGAAATTAAGGAATGAAACTTATTTTAAATTAAAGCTCAAAGCTTTCTCTTTAAAATGATGTATAATAATTGTTGGGTTGGATTGGAAAAATATTAAGAAAAAAAATGTTGAAACAACACTTACATTTAAAAGAGTCAAAAAAGATGCTAATTTAAAAATTCTTAGAAACCATGTTTATTGAAATTAAGGAATGAGATTTATTTTAAATTTAAGCTCAATGTTTTCTTTTTAAAATGATCTGTAATAATCACACCTAATAACCATTTATCAAAGAAATACCTTTTTGAACAACAAAATTCAACAGCACCACTTTTCACTAAACTTCTAACCTCACATCTGGATGAATAAGTTTAAAGTGTACCTAAAAATCCTACAGTGCGGATTGCGACGTTTTTTATACAGATTCTTTCTTGTATACACTTGTATAGTAGAAAGTACCGACAGCTCTAAATGCGCCAAATAGATAACTACAGTTTAAAATAAGTGTTTAAAACTACCGGTACTTTAAAGTACCGTCGGGACACAAAGGGTTAAAATAACTTAAATCGTTTCTCCCTTATCCCCTTCATTATTAATTTACCTAAAAAAATTTCCAGCAACAACTTTTGCTGTTAACCATATAGAAAATCCCGTTCCAATTAACACAACAAATGAGTACATAATCATTTCTTTTACTTGTTCCAATCGAATTTTCGTGGTATTAATCATAGCAAACGACATAACTGTTAATAGAAAATTAGCAACAAGGGCATTTGACGGAGCGTACGTAGCATTAGGCATTCTTTTCGTGACAAAGTACCCCGTTGCGCATTCAACGGAATTTTTTAGTTGAAATTTCGGGGTCATACATGTACTTATTAAAATCACCGAGCTCAAATAATAAATAGACAATATCGCCAAAGGAAGATATTTCATTATGTCAAAAAAATGTGTGTTCGATAATTGTCGTAAATCTAAATGTTTTAATACCATCAAGACCCGATAGAGTTGTAAAAATCTGTTGAGGCGCAAATAAATGTAAAGATAATGATCTAAAAAGAGATAATCGATGGGGAGACATGCAATAAAATCAAACATAAATCGGTTTTTCCAATAATATTTAGCTGTTGACAAGGGATGGAAAACTAAAAGACCGTTAGCGTTATAATAACAAACATGATGCATAACATAAATATCGATCCATGAAATAATATCTAACGCAATTAAACTGTAAAATATAGCAGATGTTTGATAAAAAACAGCAGTAGCACTTAAAGCGTTTGAAAAGAACGCAAAAATTCCCCGAAACAATTCAAAAGCAATTAAAAACTTTGAATCGGGAATAATCGTCGCTCGCATTAATAAATATTTAAAAATAATCCAAAGTTTTGGAAAACCAACGTGAAAATCCATATTATCAGATTTCTTTTTTGTGAATTTAAAATATTTAAATGATTTTTTCTTATAAACGGGTTTCGGTGGAATTCTTTTAACCTCTTCCGCTAATAATCTATTAATCGCAATTGTATCCGTTCGATTTCGCATTTCATCAAATTCCCGTTTTAATTCTGGATGCCATTTTAAAACGTACGAAAATTCTTTCGAATTTAATGCTAATAATTTACAATCTGTACACGCAATAACCGTGTTTATGTGAGGTATCTCCATGCATAGCTCAAAAGACGAAATCGAATCTTTTACGGTGATTACTTTTTCCACGCCGTTTCTATAAATCACTTTACAAAAACCGCAAATAATAAAATACATATATTTGCAAACTTCCCCCGCGTAACAAATAACTTCACCAGATAAATATGTATTTATGTCACTTCTTCGAGCAATTTCCATTAATAAATTGTTTTGTAAGTCGGAAAAAATCAAGATGTCGTTAACGTGTTTTCCAAACATGATGTATTTGTATAAAATATGTAGGTTTTTGGTCATCTCTTTGCATACGGCGTCGTCGTAAAGAAACGAAACTCCTTTATCTAAATAATATTGTTTTTTTAAGTATTTAAAAACTTTCTTGTTTGTTTCTTCGGGGAATTTAACCTTCGCAAACATTACGTCAACGTTAGACATGTATTCTTTAAATTCAAACGTTTCCTGGGACGTTGAAACTTCGGCCGCTATCACGATCGATTGGGCGTATATGTACATGCAACAATAAAAGATTTGCATAAAGAGGACTATAAAGAAATGGTTATATGGTAGTACATCCATAAATGAAAATACCGAGGTGTCGCTCACAAAATAACTTGCCAAAGTGTATAATAATATGAATCTTTCGGGCGCGTTCGTTTGTTCAATCTCGTAGAAACTTTCTAAATACCCGAGAAATGTTTTGTTGCAATCTTTTTGGCATACGAGTAAATAAAAGATGCAAGTACTGTAATAAAATAATAAAAATAGTATTGATAAGATTTTTAAATACGTTATAATCATCATTTTTTTGGTGTTTAATTCGGTTAATTTTTGAACGGCGTCGTTGATTCGATAAACTTTTAAGAGTTTATGAATTTCTAATAATAATAAGGTATGCGTTGACATCGTTGTGTTGATTATGTATAAAACGGGCCCAACGGGTATACAACAAAGTATATCAACCAAAAAACCCATCGTGCTCAATCTGTAATAAAATATATCCGACATTTTAGTGTGAAAAGCATGCTTTGTGTTAACGGCCGTCGAAACTCTTATGTAAGCATCGATAATCCAAATAAAAGAAATTATTAAAATAATCAACATTACATATCGGGTGAATTTTTCTCCCGCGATTGAACACACAGCCAAAGGATACAATATCACCATAATACAAGCGATGAATCCAACGATGAAATTCCACATTTCAATAAACACCGAGTTTGGTTGAAATATAAAAGGAAAAGTTTCGCTGACGAAAACGGTATCAGAAACCAAATGCAATTCATCAGGGAGAACCAACAAATCTAAATAATCAGCGCAAAAAACGAAATCATCCAAAATGCTCGATAATCTTTGGTGTTCCCTATTAATAATTCGATCGGTTTTACCGAAACCTCTCAAAGTCTTAATCACGTAATATATCGGGAGAAAATCAATATCGTCAATCAATTGATATTTCCTTTTTAAAATTTGAAACGCGCGTTGATACAATTTCGCTTTCTTATATCGTCTCGTAATCTTCTTCGTTAATAGTCTGTAAATATCCGGGTAAAATTTACAAATACTAATAACATTTTTTCGTTTCAAAGTATACACTTCAGTGCAACTTTTTGCAACAACCGTACAAGTCGATGGGTAATCAATAAACAAAGAAGACTCCCCAATACAACTACCGCCCGATAAAGACATTATAGGAGTCTCTCCATTCTCCTCCGAAAGTATTTGTATAATCCCCGAAATAACATAAACCATCGATGATTTCATCATGTTCTTTTTTATCACAATTTCCCCCGGGTAATAAACATTTCGTTGCATAAACACCGATAAACTCCTCAAAAACGATACGCTAACATTTTTAAATAAATGCGAATGTTTGAAGGCATCCCAAGTAACATCTAACGCAATTTCTTTAACGATTATATCAGGAACTATTTCGCTGGGGACATATCTGTGGAATTGTCGCTTATTTTTTTGCCACGACATTCTAAAATAGTTCAAAACTGTTTTTTTGAAAGATAAATGAAAATTTTTCATATCAACATCGTTTTTCCATCGTTTTAAAATCAAATTAATCTCTTCGAATCTATGGGCAAATTTAGAAGCGTGTTTCATCCCCGGCACCAAAATGCACGCATAATAACACACTTGATATGACACGATTATAAATGATATCAAATGGATGTAAGTTAAAATTGTGTACTCGTAATAATGAATGCTTGTTTTTAGATTCGTCGCTTCGCCAAATCCTTTATTTGTAACCCTTGACGAGGTTACAATCATGATGTTGTGAAAAATTTCGGTTGTTAGATGTACTTTTTCGGTCATCGAGTAAGAAACCGCGACGATAAAAGTAAAAATGAACGTTAATACAAAGATGCGATTTGAAAAATTAATGAAGAGTTTTAACCCGGTATTTTCCATCGACATTTTCGATGTTAATTTTGATATATATACAATCCTGACCACTCTTAAAACATATCGGGCTCTCATATAATGAAAAACGGGGTTATCGGGGGTCAATTGAATCTCGTACGGTAAAACCGATAAAAATTCTAATATTACTATGTATCCGGGTCTTTCACTGTATAAATAATCAATTTCGTGCCATGTTATATTCTTGTAAATTATCATGAGGAGAATATCCAATGCGTAAACAACATCGAAAATATATATAGTAGCTGCCACTATAAGAAATAAATAAATAATGACAAATATGGTTTCAAAAATAAAAAATATTTACCTTTAGCTTCATAAAGTTCCGGTAATTCTTTAGTATTCGATACAGCGAACGATAAATCTTTCAAAACAACAACAGCACTAAAAGAAATTCCTCCCAAAACGATTATTTGAAATTGATATTGAAATTGTAAAATTAACAAAGTTTTCCAGCCATAATTAGTCCCCAATTGTTCTCTTGTTAAAGATATTGGTTCCCTTTTCCAAAATTGGTCATTCACGTAATGAGTGTTTCTCTTCCGATGATTTTTTGGTATTATCGGTGGAGTTGTATCTGACATTTTTGGTTTTAAAATTTATGTCACTTTTTTATATGATTACCAAGAAACAAAATTTTTCGATTGTAATAATTGTAATAGAAGAATACAAATTTTGTTTTAAGTTAAATTCTTTGTTTAATTCAAACGCTTTGAGTAAAAACTTTGACCAAAAGCACACCCCTCAACTAATTTAATGAACACGTCCAAAAGCAACGGTCCGTGGAAATTTGAAGCGAAAGGGGAGCGCAGTTTTCCAGTGGAACGAGGGGGTTCGGGGTCGAGACCTCTGTCGGCTCCAAACTGCCAGTGGAACGTATCTGTTGAGAATCGTACGCGCTCCGTAGATTATGAATGTGTAACGCCATTGTCGGGTACAATGTACGCGGGCACTCGCAGCCTCCAATAAAATGTACAAAGCTCGGAGGAAAGTGTTATTACCAGTCGCAACAATGGAGCCTCGGCTCGGCGCCCCCGCGATAAATATGAGATATATAGTAGCGCCCCGTCGCGACCACCTTCCGAACCGGCCCCATTCTCGAATACAATATTGGCTCATTCGGAAATTTATATTGTCCGCGACTCGGTGATAAGGCCGTCGCATAAATTATTACCGAAAATTCTCTACGTTCACCAACCGAACCAATTTATGATCATTTTGGCTTAGTTTAAAAAAAAAATACGCTTACTCCCGTACTAGACAATATTTTAGTGGAAGTAGCTATCATCTGATTACAACTATTTTATGTTTCAATTTTCTTTCCTTTTTTCGGATTTAACACACATTTTTTAAATTTCTTTACTATTTTTCATTCCCGTTTGGTTAAGAAGTAAATTTTTGCTATCATTGTTTTATCAGAAATGAAATTTGTGTACCCATAAATAATGATGTTAAATTCTATTTATACAGGGTGTATCAGGTATGAGTAGAAAAAAGAGGAAATTGGGGGGTTATAGGTCTCCTCTTTCTGAATAAAAAATTCTGATAACACAATGTCCCATTCTTTGTCCTTCTTAAGATATGATAAGATAGGGTTCACAAATTTGAATACCACCGGTTATTAATTATATTAAGCAGGCTTTGCTTTGCAAATTTGTAATTTGTGTCTAGTTTTGTAATTTTGTTGTTTTTAATACAATAAGCAAGTTTATTTATTAAAACCTAAATTTTTGTAAATTTTCACATTAAAACGTGATAAAACAGAAGTAATAAACTTATTCGTATAAAGTAAACAACCTCTAAATAAATATCTCAAAAATGACTTTTCTGTATCAAATGAAAGCTATACAAGGTGTATCTGAATGACTGCAACAAACTTCAAGGGGTGATTCTTTAGTCAATTTTAAGGGTACTTTGTTATATGAACCATGGGCGACTTCGGCTCCCCTAAGGAGCTACACCCCTCCAAAAATGGCGGAAAATTTTGGTTTAATTTTTTTTTCTCAAAAACCATAAACGCTAGGAAAATGAAATTTGGGGAATATGTTTAACTCATAATAGGGCACGTTTTGACCCTATTTGTACTTTCAACCTACCCTTCTAAACTACTAAACGTAACCACCCCCGTTCAATTTATGCCTAGATTTTTTTTATGAAGATGATAAATACATTGGAAAAATTTCAGTTAGATAGATAAAACTATTCTAAAACTTTTTTGTCTCTCTGATGTTCTTCGAAAATTTAATAATTTCTGAGAAAAAAAATAATTAAGCAAACACTAACTGTTAAGCTGTAGGGTTGTTAATCGAAAGTTGGAATGAATTTTTAATGAAAAAATCTTAGTAGGCTTTGCAATCTTTGTCAGAAATATTTTTGACGTTTAAATGTCAGTGGTTTTCTTACTATTATTATTGTTTTATTTAAAATTTTGAAACGTCGAGTGAACGAGCGTAAATGCGATAGAACTTTATTCAAAAATTAATTTGAAAAACAATAATAATAGTAAGAAAAACACTGACATTTAAACGTCAAAAATATTTCTGACAAAGATTGCAAAGCCTACTAAGATTTTTTCATTAAAAATTCATTCCAACTTTCGATTAACAACCCTACAGCTTAACAGTTAGTGTTTGCTTAATTAATTTTTTTCTCAGAAACTATTAACTTTTCGAAGAACATCAGAGAGGCAAAAAAGTTTTAGAATATTTTCATCTATCTAAATAAAATATTTCCAATGTATTTATCACCGTCATAAGAAAAATCTAGACAAAAATTAAACGGGGGTGGTTATATTTAGTAACTTAGAAGAGTAGGTTGAAAGTACAAATAGGGTCAAAACGTGCCCTATTATGAGTTAAACATATTCCCCAAATTTCATTTTTCTAGCATTTATGGTTTTTGAGAAAAAAAAGTTAAACCAAAATTTTCCGCCATTTTTAGAGGGGTGTAGCTCCTTAGGGGAACCGAATTCGCCCATGGTTCATATGTCAAAGTACCCTTAAAATCCACTAAAGAATCACCCCTTGAAGTTTGTTGTAGTCATTCAGATACACCCTGTATACATAAGCAAAGCCTGCTTAGTGTAATTCTTTATACAGCAGTACTTAAACTTTCAAACCCTTAACTTTATCGTATCACATCTTAAGAATGGCAAAGAATGGGACATTGTGTTATAAGATTTTTTTATTCACAAAAAGGGGGCCTATAAACCTCTCAAATTTTTTCTACTCGTACCTGATACACCCTGTATGTGTAGAAAAATGATGTCGTAGATTGATGCACGATTTAAGGTCGTATGAGATAATATTGATCATTTCCACCAAATATTTTCCTTTGTACTTACAGTCACATTCTTAATTACTGCGAATCTGGTGTTGTTAGCTCCGAAATAATTCGGGTGTTGGAAAAGGACTTATATTGATTTCACCTCGAATGTGTGACGTAAACAGCATTAAATAGAAACAATATCAAACTTTGACATATGATAGCAAATCCAATTACCAAAAAAAAAAAATGTTAATGAACCTATTTCCATTATTTAACGAAATTATAACACTTTAAAGTTTTCTGCAGCGAATTTATTAATAGCCAGTAAAATCAAACATTCAACAAAAACAAAGTTGTCATTGTAATATGTCAGTTTGCTGTAAGGTTTAATTATTACATACAAGAAGAAACTCAAAATGTACGCTTATAGCACTGAAGAGTATGCTGATATAATTTTCGTGTATGGTTTTTGCAATGGAAATGTTCGACAATTAGTACGAGAATATGAAGAAAGATTTCCACAGTGTCCATATTATTCAGTTTTTAGCGATTCTTTCAGAAGACTTCAAGAAACAAGTAATCCTGCACCAGCAAAAACTATTCGACCGCATGTAGTTAATGTAGAGAACGAAGAAGCTGTAATTGATGCTGCCATCCTTCCATCAGCACTCGAAAAATAGCACACAGCATATAATGTTCAAGCTCTACAGCCAGGAGATAATCAGCAACGGTTAGCATTTTGTGAATGTTTATTGCAGCAACATGCCCAAAATGAATCATATTTTATACGAGATCGTATAAATAATTATCATAATGAACATATCTGGGCATTACAAAATTCGTATGCGATTAGACAAAGGAAATTTCAACAATGTTTCAGCATCAACGTTTGGGGTGGAATATTTAACAACAATTTACTAGGTTTGCATGTACTTGATGAACGTTTGAATGCTGTAAATTACAGATTTTTTTTAACAATACACTTTTTGATTTACTTGAAGATATACATACATATACAGACATTTTAATTCGGTTGAAGAAGTCTTTTAATTCGTCGTTGCGAAGTATGTATTGTAGCATAAGGAGGCTATTTTGAACAATATTTGTAATATTTATGTTTTGACATAGGTCATATGTTCATTAAAATTGTTTTTTTTTTGGTAATTGGATTAGCTATCATATGTCAAAGTTTGATGGTGAGCTAATAAACCACTCTGTATATATAAAAAGGTTTGACCTAAATAAATTAACCGAAAATTGTACTTCTTGAGGTAACGTTTCGAATTACATCATATACACTTCTGCTTGCAATATCTAGTCTTCTGACAGTAGTGTATAATCTTCTACAAGCAGAATCTGATCTTCCATTGGTCGTATTTTACCTTCTGCCGGTGATATCTGGTCTTCTGTTTACATTATTTAGCAGTCAGCCAGTAGTAGCTAGTCTTCTACCAACAGTAACTAGCCTACTTTAAGCAGGTCTTTCATTGGTAGTCTTGTCTCCAAACCAACAGTATCTAGTATTTATTATTAAACATTAGGAAATGTTTGGTCTTTCCCCAATAGTATCTAGTTTTCTACCTGCATTATTTAGTCTTCAGTCAACAGGGTGCACAAGCAGTATCTAGTCTTCCATAGGCAGTATTCCACCAGCATTCCTGTTTATGGAAGAGCAGACCTTTTAAAAACAGGATCCAGTCTTCCATCGATAGCATCTCATCTTGTGCCGGCGATGTTTAGCCTTCTGTCTGCATTAATTAAGTCTTCAGCCAGTAGTGTTTAGTTTTCTATAAATGGAATCTAGTCTTCCATTGGTAGTATCTTGTCTTGTACTAGCAGTATGTGGTCTTTTCTAGCAGAATTTCGTCTTTTGCGCCAGTACTTAGTCTACTGTAAGCAATAGGTAGTCATCTGAAAGCAGTACCTAGTCATCTCTCGACAGTATCTATCCTATTATAAGCAACATTTCGTCTTGCATGAGTAGTATCTAATTTTCTACCAACAATATCCAGTCATATTATGTTGATTGGCAATAAATATAATCCTCCATTAGCAGTATCTAGTTCCTCATTGACAGTATACAGGGTGTCCCACGTAACTGGTTCGTTACAACTTTTTCAGGTTCCACTATTCGTAGAGATTTGAAATTTTGGTAACATGGATTGTTCATTCGGAACTTTCGATGTAACATATTTTTAAGACGGCCGCCACTTCCGCTCTACCGGAAGTAGACCATAACTTCGTTATTTTAAATGGAATGCTATAGTTTTTATTACACCGTTTTATTGTACGTAAAAAATAGGTAGACTTTCATAAA